TTTCTTTCTAATGTGGAATAAGATGCTATTTAATTTTGTTCTTCCATAGGTAATATTTTTATGTATATGCTTTAATGATTTTTTTCTTTACAAGAAGTTTTGGACAATTTCATTTTTGTGCATCTTAGTATGATTTTATTTAAATATGTTTGCAAAAGGTTCGTTTTTCTTGGAAATGTGTTATTATAAGTTGAACTAAATTCAGAAATTTTAAATCTTAAAAAAATGCTTGAAACTATTGTTTGAAGCAAGGTACAATTACCCTATGATGAATGCTATAATTGTGTATATATAAAATGTACCAATAAAAAATTCAAGGAGAAAAAATAGAATTTTCACCCTGACTATCTGTGCATGCTGATATCTGCAATCTAAGCAACTACGTCAAGGACAGCAATGTGTAATATAAAAACCATGGTTGAATACCTCTCATCTTGGTCTTCTAAATGTGTGTTTCTAATGTCTTATCAATTATTACTATACTTTCTTTAAAATAATTTTTTAAAGTTAAAAAGACAAGAAAAAAAATTAAGGTTTAATGAAAGCGTGTGACTATATCTGTTAATCTGAGCAACAGATTCAATGATATAATAGATAATATAGCAACCATTGTTAATTAACTGTTCTTCTTTTGAAAATTTGTAACATATATATTGTTGTATGTTACCCGGGGGGGGGGAGATCGAAGTATGTAACTTAGTGGGAGATTTTTGCTCATCCATAAGAGCAACTCCTCATCCATTAGTGGTGTAAGATTCGAGCAATTCTTCACATTCTAAAGCTTCACTTCTAATTGTAGCTCTAGTTCCTTTGCTTTCTCCCACATATACAGTTACTTTGTTCACTGAAATCTTAAACCCTCAAAAACATCTATAATAGCAGGGCGTCTAGCTAAGTGGCCTAAGTGCCTACCTAGAAAACACAGTGACCTGAGTTCAATCCCCAATACTACCAAAAAAAAAAATCATCCATAAGTGTTAGTTTTATCATAAACTGACTTTTTTTTTTAAGATTGCAGCAGTTCATCTGTATTTTCAGACTTCTAGTTCTCTTGTTGTTTCTACTACATCTGCAATTTGTGGAAATCTGAAAGCCTTAGAATCAGATGTATATTAGAATCAACTTCTTCCAAGCTCTTTTTAAAAAGTTAATATTATTGGCCCTCTTACTCCCATCTCCGGTACTTGGGACCTTGCATTGCCACACAGGCTCTTATGCTGCTGAGCTATCTCCCCAGCCACTGGTACTCTTTTGATATACATAATAATCACATTCATCATAAGAAATTTTTCCCTGTACATAGTACATCTTCATCCTTCTTGACTCATTCTCTCCCCTACATTCAAGCCTGTCCCCCTCCTCTATCCATTTTCATCCTTATTTATGCTGTTGGTTTCACACAATAAAAATAATCATATTTAAATGTGACCAGTATATTTTACTTAACAGTCTCAAGGTGCATCTATTTGCCTAAAAAGTCTCAAATATATCCTTGTATGTCAGAGTAGTACTCCATTGTATTTAAGAACCTTATTTTCTTTATTCATTGATTGATTGGCATCTGGGCTGTTTCTAAGATTTAACTATTAACAATTATGCTGTAGTATGATGCTTTTAGCTCTTTTGAGAAAATACACCAAAAAAGAGAATGACTAGATCAAATAGAGCCTCTAGTTTCACTTTTTAAAGGAATCTACATAGTGATTTCCATAATGGTTGTACCAATTTACACTCCCATCAACAGGGGAGTAGGGTTCATTTTATTCCCCTACAGCCTCACCAGCATTTGTTATTGGTTGATTTCTTGATGACAGCATTCTTTCTGGAGATGGAATGTCATTGTGCTTAATTTGCATTTCTTGAATGACCTGAGGATGTTGAACATCATTTCATATATTTTATGTATTACTTCACTTGAAAAGTCTTTATTCATTTCAGATGCCTGTTTTTTTATTGAGTCTTTAAATTTGGGGGATCTAGTATCTTTTTTTAAGTTCTTTATATTCTAGGTATTAGTCCTTTGTGTAAGGAATAGCTGGTAAAACTTTTTCCCATTCTGTGTATTGTTTCTTCACTTTGTTGTCTTTTGCCATGCAAGAGTTTTTTAATATGAGATCCCACTTGTTGACTGTGTAATATTTCCTCAGCCATTGGGATTTTATTTATTTATTTATTTTTTGCGGAACCGGGGATTGAACTCAGGCCCTTGTGCTTACCAGGGAAGCATTTATTCCCCTGAGCCATCTCCCTGGCCGGGATTTTGTTCATAAAATCTTTGCCTATACCTATGTCTTAAAGACTTTTATCTATTCTAATTTCCAGAAGATTGTTTCTGTTTTAATATTAAATTTTTTTTACCTAGATTTTAGTTTAGTGCATGGTGGAGGGATGAATTTAAGTTTAATCTCTGGTGCCTAGAAAGCCAATGTTTCTCAGTACCATGTATTAAAAAAGCTATCTCCATGAAGGTGTTTGACCTCTTTATCAAAGGTAATGTGACTGAGTATGTGTGAATTGTTTCTGCATCTTCTATTCCATTGATTCTTGGATCTGTTTTATTGGGTGTTTTGGGGGGGCAGGGGAGGCATGATACCATACTGTTTCTATCATGGTAGCTTTGTAGTAAAATTTCAGGTTGAGAATTGTGATATTCCCAGCGTTGCCTTTGTTGTCCAGAATTACCTTTGCTATTCTAGATCTCTTCTTGTTCCAAATTACTTTTTAGGACTGATTTCTCTCTTCTCTGAGATATGCTTTTAACATTTTGCTTGGGATTTCATTAAGTCTATACAACAGTTTTAGAAATACATCCATTTTCAGAATTTTGGTCCTGCCTATCCAACAAGAACAAAGGATGTCTTTCCATTTTTTATATTCTCTGTGATCTACTTTTTTAGTGTACCATAGTTTTCACTGTAAAGGTATTTTACTTCCTTTGTTATATTGGTTTCTACTAAATATGTCTGTCTGTCTATCTCTCTCTCCCTCCCTCTCTCTTGTCTGGCTGCTATTGTGAAAGGTGTTTTCTCCCTACTTTCTCTTTCAGTAAGAGTTATACAGGAATGTATTGATTCTGTGTCCAGGAATTCTGTTGTGTACAGGAATTCCATTGATTTTTGAGGGTTGACTTTGTTTTGCATTATGTTGTGCTGCTGAATTTGATTATTAAATATAGGACTTTTGGTGGAATTTTTGGGGTCTTTTATGTAGAATATGATGTCATCTACAAATAATGATAATTTAATTTCTTCTTTTCCTATCTTTATACCATTTTCTTTCTTCTCTTGTGTTAATTGCTCTGGCAGAAGATTCAGAACTATATTGACTAGGAATGGTGATAGTGCATAGCCTTGTGTTATTCCTGATTTTAGAGTGAAAGCTGATTTCAATATTACTAAGTCTGAGAAAATAGGCTCAAGGAAAAGGAAAACAGTGAGAGAATAGCCAGTCAGTGGAACAGTAAAAACACAATATTTACCAAATAAATTCACTATCATTTTATTGGTATAATTTGTGGTTCCTCAACACAATTACAGTAGTAATATCAAGGATTATCATAGATCAATATTAACAGATATAATAAAAATATTCAAAGTATTAGAATTAACAGATGTGGTGCAGACACAAACACATACTGTTGGAAAAATGGTGCCAGTAGACTTGTTCAACACAGATTACCACGGACCTTTGATTTGTAAAACATGTATTATCTGGGAAATACAATAATTTAAGACACAGTGAAATGAGATATTCCTGTAGAAAGCAACAGTAAGGGCTGGGAAGATGGCTCAGTAGAATAAGTACTTCCCTGACAAGCACAAGGACCTGAGTTCAATTCCCAGTTCCACAAAAAAAAAAAAAAGCAACAGTAAGAAAATGTATCGTTATAGAAATAAACATAAATGTTAAACAAAATTGCATTTTAGGAGTATTAGAAAGAAAAATTTTTAGCTTTTAATACAGAAAAAGGAGTAATCTAAAAGTTTTACATTTTTAAAATGTAGAGTTAAGGAAGCAGTATTAGGAATACTTATCAGAGATCAAATTCTATTGATTTGATATAATTTGATTTTTTTCTCTCTTCTAGCGTATGTCTGCCTCCTATCAAGAAGCTAAAACTTTACTGAAATCCTACTTACAGCAACATGGCTATGGCTCCTGGATTGTGAAATCACCCTATATAGAGCAATTTAACATGTGAATTAGACAGTTCCTTGTCATATTAAACATATTTTGTGTTTTTGGTGTGTTTTGACTGGTAAAAATGTTTTTAAAATATTAGAAGTTTTGAGCTTTCAATATCAGCATCTTGTAACAGCAGTGTCTTCAATATTGCTAAAAATCAATGCATTTTCCTATCAACTTACATTGAAACATTGGGGATTTTTAAACATTTTTCATTTGTTTTTGAAGAAGAATTACCTGATTTAATGTGTATACATTTTACATTTAGTTTTACAGACATAAAAATCATTGCTCTCTGCAGTTTAAAAGAGAATTCATTTTCTCAAGATTTTGCTATGAATCTATCCACACAGCTATAATATTCAACATTGTTTTTGATAGATCATTCAAGTATTCTCTTATTTTAAAATAGAAAGCAAGAGCCAGCAAGATAGCTCAGCAGAGTAAACGCCTGCTTAGGCTAGTGCAGGATATCATCTCATGCTGCACTTTCCTTGCTGAGCTGGCCACCCAGACCAAGAATGGTGGCACACGCCTGTAATCCCAGTGCTACAGAGGCTGAAAACAGGAGGATCCCTGTGAGTCTGAGGTGTCTAGTGAGACCCTGTACCAAATACATAATTTTAAAAAAATTAAAAATAGCAAGAATAAAAACAATTTCTGTTCATATATTCAGCAGGGATTTAAGTGCTTAATATTTTCCACTTACTGTGCTAGATAATCTCTAAAAGATCCTTCAAATCAAGTTCATGACTATAACCTATATATACAAGTACATTAAAACCATATTAGAGCCAGGAAGATAGCTCAGAGGCATAACTGCCTGCATGTCAAGCACAAGGTCCTAAATTCAATCCCCAGTACCACTAAAACAGAACATGTTAGGTAGTCATTTGAAAGATTATCATTAATAGAAGACATTCATATATGCTTTATGTAAGATTACCAATTTTTAGAAATCCCCTAAGATCTGTTTGTACCAAATGTTATTTAATTCTTCATAATTTAGATTCATGGGGAAGGGTTGGCCAGATAGCAGACTAAGCACCTGCTTGGGCAAATGCAGGGACCAGCGTTCTATCCCTGGCCCCACATGCCATGTCAGCCTTGCCCCAGGGCATGCTGAGCTGGCCATTGAGACCAGGAGTGGTGGTGCACACCTGTAATCCCAGCTCTGGGGAGGCTGAAAACAAGATCACTACGAGTCCGAGCTGTGTAGTGAGGCCCTGTACCAAATACATAAAAGATTCGTGGGGGTTCCTAATTTATAGGTAAATAAGCTGTACCTTTGTACTGATAGTATTCTGAAATTGGCTAAGAAATGGAAAGTTTACTCTTGTTAGGATATATATCATTAGTAAAATTATGAATCCAGTACCTTAGGGTTTTTTTCTATTTTTTGCTTTTCTATCAGAGATACAGTAAACCTTACTGGTGTCCAGGGTTTGCCCTGTTAGCTGGCATCTTTATTAAATTGATGAGTCTCACTCTAGCCAATGTAAACTTATTATAATATTTGATGGGATTGGTGTAGCTTGCTTTGTTACCTATTCTAGAAGTATGCAGTAGTATATTTTTAGTTAATAGTGAAATTATTACTGAAAGACATATCTTAGTGTTCTAGACTACCATATTTAGAAATACAAGGCTGTACCATGTGACATTGCCACTTTTGGAAAATTTAAAAGGATAAAATATTGACAGTATCATAACTAACAAATACACTAATAAATTTCATTTCAGTTTATTATATGTTTATTGCTTGTTTCTCCAATTGTTATTTTCTTGTTAAATATTTTTTATTCTTTTCGCTAGGTGTTTTCTTTTCAAGGCATATTTCTATCCTTTATTATTCTCCTTCACAGTAAATTTGCCTTAGAAAATACAAGATATCTTCCAAGTTCTTAAGTTAGACATCGTCATATTAATTAGTAAAATATTAACTTTATGGTACTTTTTAAAGAAAGGGATAGTTTTGAGGGGAATATAAAACAAATATACTCAATGATTTACAGACAGAATCTGTTAAATTCCAGTTGTTTACTCAATATGTGTTCACAGAATATGTTTATCTTTGTACACCCAGTTATATGTGTGACACTTGGTTTATAGAGATGAAAGCTATCTCAGAAGTACCAAGAAAGACCATAAAGGATTAGGACATAATACATAGTAAAGGCAGTCATTCAGTGGCAGGGTCAAGAGTTAAACATGAAACTCAACATTAGCTGTTACTCTTAAATTATTTAAACTCATTTCAGATCTTTATCTTTGAAGGATAAAGTTTATTTTAGTGATTTGAATTTTTCAGAAGACAGGCTTTTATCTTAGTTACTTTCTCATTGCTGGGACAAAATACCGTGATTTGAATTTTTTAGAAGACAGGCTTATCTTAGTTACTTTCTCATTGCTAGGACAAAATACCCAACACCCATAATTTAAAGGAAGAAAGGTCTATTTTGCTTCAGTTTGTAGAGGTTTCAGTCCATAGTCAACTGGCTCTAATGTAGGGCATAATGACCCAGGGCCATGGATGAGGAGAAACAGTCCATAGCAAGGCAGGTAGGAAGCAGTAAACAATGAGGCAAGCCTCCCTTTCCCTTTTATCCCATCCATGCTACAAGCCTTTTGGGTGGTGCCACTACACCCAGGGTGGGGCTTCCAATTTTCCACATGTAGAACTATGCTGAACTAACCAGTTTGCCTAATGTAGTACCACACACCCTTAATCCCAGTATTATACACCCTAGATCCAGCCACCTCTGAAAAACCACACCTGTGAGCACAGGAGGCTTTGGGAGGACATCTAGGTATAGACCTTGATAGGAAAGATTCTGTTACTCTTCATCAAAAACAGTATGTTTTACTTTGTAGTGTGTGTGATGTTTGTATATCTACAAGATAGTTTTCTTGAAAACCTAAATTCATATTTTAAATCTGAGGTTCTAAAATATTCAAAACCCACTAAAGTAGTTGTATCTATGTTTCTCTTTTTATCTCTATGGTTTCTCCAATGTTAACTGAGATAATCATTGAAAGATGCATAAAATTTGCTTGGTTAAAATGAGAGACAGTATAATGAAATGAAATGTTACATTAAAGCTAGGATGTAGAGCGCTGGATGGAAAACTTCAAATCTAGCAGATGTTCTTAGTTTGGTAGGGACAAAGCATTTGAATAATCTGTGTAGGGCAGTAACTTACACTAAAACACCATTTTGCTACTTTTTGTTTATGAGGAAAATTTTTAAATGCACAGGAGTAGCAAGTGAATTCCCATGTACCCATTACACACCTTCATCTGTTACTCAGACTCAAAGTTTTCTTATTTCATGTATTCCTCCCAAAGGACATTTTGTTAGAGCAAATAATATTTTACCTCAAAATACTTCGATATGTTTATCTGTAAAAGATACGGACTCCAATAAACACACCCACCTGAATAACCACCGTTTAGCACACTTTAATGTTAATTCTATCAAATTTTATGTAGATTCTTGGAATAAGGATCCAAATTACCTTTTTACATTGGAACTTGTTAAGTATCAGTCCATAGGTTTCATGGCTCTTTTTTATTACTTTTAATTATATGTGTCAAAAACTTGATTCCTTTGTTTTTAGTTTCCACAATATCAATTTTGCTGCTTATATCTCAAAAATGTTGTTTAAAAGGTTCTTCTGTTCTACTCCCTAAAACTAGCATTAAGTCTAAAGGCTTTCTAAAGCAGTGTCAGATTTTAGCAAAATTACATCTTGGACAGACCTTTCAATTTTTTGGAGAAGACACCATGCTGGGATTGTCTTCCTTTGATAGCAGCCATTTATGATCTTTGCCTCCATCTATTACTTCATTTTGGGTTTCAGATGATAATTACACCAGTGTTTCTATTAAAGAAGTGTGCCCTCAGATGATCTGATTGCCTGAATGGATGGGTATACTTCCTAAGGAAAAAGCTGGATTTTTTTTCTTTACAGTTTGAAATAGTTGGGGGCCGGGGAGATAGTAAAATAAGTGCTTGCCTGACAAGCACAAGGGCCTGAGTTCAGTCCCTGGTTCTGGAAAAAAAAAAAAAAAGAAAGAAATAGTTTATTGTCACCCTTTTAAGTTGACCAAAGATTTTTTTCTAGATCAATTTAAACATTCTATTACTTCTATGCATTATGATATTTATATTCATAATCAAATTGTTCTACTTTTAGTTGGTAGGGATCTTTATAAACATATTTCAGTATTTTTCATAGTTATTGCTTCTGATACTTTAGGATTTTGTATATTTTCTCTATTACTAATATATAGACATGTAGTTAATTTTTATGTTCATCTGCTAGTAATGCTATTGTAGAGGCTTTTAGGTGTTCTTTCAAAGCCCTACCTTATATGAATGACAGACTTAGTTTTTCTGCCTCATGTGCATATATTTCTTCAAAGACTTAGTTCCTTATAATGGAAGATGGTGTGTAGAAACTAGTTTCGTGCTGTATACCTAGTTAATAGGTTGATAATTTTTCTCCTAAAGATTTTTTTCCAGAGCACAAATCTTATATACACATATTTAAGATATTTGTTTATATTGAAGTCCACGCTTCAAATTCCTGTCTGCAAACCAAGTGTGGTTGTGCACTCCTGTGTCACCAGCACTCTGGAGGGTTGGGGCAGGAGATCACAAGAATGAGCCAGGCTGCGCAACTTAGTGACTTAGGGTGATTGTCTCTCGGGAAGTGGGACTGGGCTGTAGCTCAGTCCCCAGTATGAGTACCCCTTATTCCCAAGAAGAAAACAGCAAGATTCATGGTGTTTTTTTTTAATTCAACTTCAGTCTTCTGTATCTCTTTTATTCTATACTAAAACTTCAATTCCTATTGATACAATATACTTTTTTATCACACATTTACATACATAGAAGCTTCAGAATAGGAGTGCTAGTAGTACCATCAATAATATTAAAAACAAACTTGTCTTCAGCATATATGCAGCCTCTTATACAGTCAGCTTAATGTGGTTTATAGTAACTTGTGT